GACACGTCACCATCCCCTGCTCTCCAGGCCTCCTTACCCAGGTTTTGCCATGAGATTTGCTAAGCCGTGCTTGAAGCCTTGGACACCGCGGAGCGGGGGATCCACTTCAGAGACTAAAAGCGTATTATAAAGCTGGTTTTGTACATCAACATCTCTCCTGGGTGAAGATGCCCGAGCCAAGGGTTAGGGAAACCCAGGGGGGGATGCTCATTCGCCTGTCACTGCAGCACCGACCCCCTCCACACACCGAAACACCCCAAAACCGGCTCTGTTCCGCGGAAGGGAAAAGAGTCACCCCAGATGGGACTCGAACCCACAATCCCTGGCTTAGGAGGCCAGTGCCTTATCCATTAGGCCACTGGGGCTGCGTACAGACGCCTTTTTTTTTCAGTGCCGTGACTTAACTCTCTGCTGGCCAGAGGGGACGCGGCCGCCATGAGGGGGATGCGGGGCCTCCCTCAGCACCAGGCAGCGCCGTCCCCATCTCTGCCCACAGCGCAGGAAGGAGACGATGTTGGGGGCACGGAGACCCCCGCAGAGGGCCCAGCTCCGCCCGCCGGGCCTCAGCCCGCAATCCCGCACCGGCAGAGCGGGAGGAGCCCGTCTCCACCGCCGGGTCCCGCTGCGCCGAGCCGCGCCCCTGCTTTCCCCGCTCCGGCAGCCCCGTTCGCTGCGGGGGGGTGGAGGGCAAAGATTGGCTTTTGCGCGGCCCCAGTGGCCTAATGGATAAGGCACTGGCCTCCTAAGCCAGGGACTGTGGGTTCGAGTCCCACCTGGGGTGGGGGCGGCTTTTTTCTCCACCTCCTTGCATTGGAACCCCAAGGGAAAGCATGGGCGGAAGGGGACACACACACACACACCAAACCCTGTAACTCACCAGGCGCTCCCTGCAGCAATAAAAGCCACATCCTGACCGACCCTACCCCTTTATTCCATCCCCGGTAACCGGCAGCAGCTGCTGCTCAGCCCTCACCCTGTGTCGGGCTCCGGTTCGTCCCCACCGCCGGCATAGGGCGCTCTGAACCGCTAAGCACGAATGGGGTTTGCAGGGCAAAACGCCTCCCAAAGCTGCCCCAGCACAGGCACTGACACCCCGGGGTGCTCTCACCCCAGGGGGGGCCGAACGCTGCACCCCCTTAAGCCATCGGCACAGCGAAATTAAACGGTTCGAGGCTCTCCCGTGGCTTTAAAACAACCACGAAGGGACTCGAACCCTCAATCTTCTGATCCGAAGTCAGACGCCTTATCCATTAGGCCACGTGGTCCCCCGTAGCTCTGCTTTGGGGACAGCGGCAGACACCGGGGGTACCAAGGAGTCCCTGGCATCCTCCCCATTCCCATCCCGTCTGGGGTCATGGCTTTTCCTCATGCCCAGCACTGGGTGGGGGGTTCCCTCCTGCCATGGGACTCCATGTGCTAATTGGTCATCACAGACCCCTATTGCCACCCGTTCTGCCAGTTTACCCTGTATGTGCTGATGTCTGCAGCTGTGACGTTCCCCTCCTGCCACCAACCCAAGCTGTTCTGAACACAAATATAACCCCAAATGCAGAGCTGACACCATCCAGGAGACACCCCCAACGCAGAGCAGCTGGGGTCACCCTCCAGCTGCCAGGGGCACACAAGTCCAGGCTTTCCCTGCCACATCCCCATGGAAAGGCAAAGCCAACACCATCACACCCAGCTGAGGCTCTGTGTGAGGGAGGGAAGCAGTGCTTGGGCATTACTGGGAAAGAAAGATGGGGAGAGCCAAGACCCTGGAGACAACTTGCTCTTGACAGTGACAGCATTCAGTGTGATGGGCACAGAGTCAACGAGACACAGGGAGGGCATTTAGCCCCTGTTCATTATCAATAACACCTCCTGATGCAGCTCAGCTTCTCCCTATACCCTGCATTCCACATCTAACCCTTAACAAACCTGCCACAAGGCAGGAAGGTGTTTTAACCTCTTCTATATCCATGGGAGTTTTGGGGACACGTTGGCTCCTGGGGTCCCTTCAGCTCAGCTTCAACCAGCACGGCTTTTCTGCCATGCCTCAAACTAAAGCTGAGCAGGAACACACCGGAGAGCAAAGCCTGCAGGAGATGAGCACTTGCCATGTGCCTGGGCCTTCAGCAGGTTTGCTGCTCTCCGAGTCATTTCCTCCCACACCTAAGAGGGAAAAACTACTTAGAAAGAAACTTTACTTTAGGCTTTACCAGTGTGGTCTCACCCTGACCACAGCTGCCTTTTATAATCCATTAACTCTGGAGGAAAAGACCCTCCAGGTAGCTTTTTAATGCAACAAACCTGAGGTCATTACCCAAAAGACACTTATGAGGAGGACTCTGGTCCCCGGGCAGCAAAGCCAAACTGTGTGACCCCAGTGGCCTGCCCCTCACTGAGATGCAGTTGCTGGCGGAGGGAAGCATCCTTCCCATCAGAGCTTGTCCTGCTCCGGGAAGAGGTTGGTGCGGTACCGGCAAGGTTCTCATCCCCCAGCATCCACTGGCTTTCTGTTGGGGGTCAGATGCAGCTGATGGCACAGGGAGCATCCAGAGGAGGTAAAAATGCAGCTGAATTCCCTGCAGAGCCCTGAGCTGACACAGACCCAGCTCTGCCCAGACAGGGCTAATTAAACAGTGTTAACTGCTCTGCTTCTGCACCTTCTGGGCCACCTGGAAAGAAGCCCCAGCCAGAACCATCCTTTCATTAACACCTCTCCAGATATCATCCTTTCATCAGCAGGTCCCAAGCATCCACCTTTGCACTGAGGCCCGGGGGCTTCCCTTCTTCATCAAATCGTAGAATCCAGACTGGTTTGGGTTGGAAGGGGCCTCATCCAGTTCCAACCCCTGCCACTGGGGATACCTTCCACTAGAGCAGCTTGCTTCAAGCCCTGTCTTTTTCATGGGCTCTAAGCTGTGATCACTGACCAGGAGCAGGTAACAGCATCATCCCAACGCCATCGTGTACAGCTCCTGTACAGCAGGCTGTGTATTGCAGTCGTCGGCACAGAGAGCAAGCCTGGAGCTGCTGGGGGGGAACTCACTGCCCCAAAACACGTACAGTGCACCGAGCCGGGCAGCAGCAGCAGCAGGAGGAGGAGGAGGCTCGGCAGCTCTACGCGGGCCTGGCTGCGCTAAACCGGGGAGAAAACGCACAGAAACGGGGTTGGCAGCAGCAAAACGTTGGGTGCTCACCCCAGATGGGACTCGAACCCACAATCCCTGGCTTAGGAGGCCAGTGCCTTATCCATTAGGCCACTGGGGCTGCGCACGGCGCGCGCCCCGGCCCGCGGGAACGGCCCGGCCCCGGCGCTGCGGGGGCTCGTGGAGCCCGCAGGGGAAAGTGGGGGGGGAATCACCCGGGGGTCCCGGGGAACGGAGCCGGGATGCACCGGGAGCGGTAGGGCCGGGCGGGCGGACACGGGGCCAAACCGGGTTCGCTTCTTCCCCCCACCCCGCCGGGGGAAGAGGCGAGAAGGGAGAAGCGGGAAAAGATGGAAATGGGGAAGGGAAAAAAGGGTCGACCACGAAGGGACTCGAACCCTCAATCTTCTGATCCGAAGTCAGACGCCTTATCCATTAGGCCACGCGGTCAGTCGTAGGGAAACCCCCCAGCGGTGCTGCCTACCCCCAGCCCGCTCCCGTCGCCAGTCCCACTGGGTACCCCGGGATACCGGCACGGAGCATCCCGGAGCACGCCCGGGAAGGATCCGCTGTCTGCAGGGCAGGGGAAAAGCAAGGGTGGGATTCTCCGGCTGCGATCGCTGCGCTGGAGCCTGGGACGGTCCCGCAGGCAGGGCCGGGATGCTTTGCTGGGGAGAGGCAGAAGTGGGGTGATGCGGAGTATAGGCTCTCACTGAGCATCCAGGTCATCCCATCACCTCACCCAGCCTCGCAAGAGCCACAGGGTTCGGCCTGCCTCCCTTCTTTGCCCCCCATATGAGCTGCTGCGGGAGGGATGCCGTACAGAGCATGCAGATCCTTGCTGCAGCGGGACCCAGTGGGTACCAACGGTTTGCAGAGCAACAGGACAGGTTTGCATCTCCAGTGTACTCACATCACACCAGCTTCTGGCAGATCCCACCTCTAGTGATGCTATCACCCACCAGCGTAAGCTCCTACAGCCAACACAACCATCAAGCCCCAGCACGGAGATCACCTCTGCTTCTCCTTGTGCCCCTTATATGCAATCCAAACCCACTCTTGTGGCCCATATGCTTCCCACCTCCTATCTCAGACACAGCCGCACACCACAGTGAGATGCCACCTCGGGTGCCCCAGCAGGATGGGGCTTTCAGGGCAGACAAGAGTTGGAGCTGCTCCCCTGCAAGGGAACCATCACTTGGAGCACCTCAGGGTATCACTGACATCACGGCAGTGATGGAGAGGAGAGCAGCTGAGGGAAAGAGACAGAGATGTTAAAAGAAAAGGTCTTTGAGCCTTTAATCTTATCTGTGAGGGCTCGGAGAACAGGACCTCAGGAGGCACAAACACATCAGTGGGTGTGTAAAAGGCTCAGTGCTTTGTGAAATGAGGACATCCTCCAACACCCACAGCCTGGGCTGCTATGGAGCAGGACCAGGCTTGAAGAAGAGCAGCCTCTCCTCTGCCTCCCTCCTCCCTTCCCATCACACAAGCACTAATTCCTGATCCATTTCAGTGGGGTTGCAGCAGCCTCTCAGCCCAATAAATGAGACAAGATTTGCTTTGAGTAGCTCTGGCTCCTTGCCTTTTCTTTGTGGAGATGGGCCCTTTTCTTTCCTCTCCCTCAAATCGTTGGGGTTGGTTTAATGACTTTATTTTTGCCTTCACCACAACTAAAGGCTGCTCCCCTGAGTGCATCAGACCATTAGCAAGTCCTTCCTTCCAATGCAAATAAATACATAAAAAGTCTAGCTCCTGCTTACAGCACATCCATCCCTCATTAATAAATAGCAAATCAACTTCGACACAACGAGTGACGTGTCCTGCAACTGCTCATAAGACACCCGGGTACCATTTGTCTCCTTATTTAGAAGCAGGAGATGATGCAGCGAGCTTTTATAGCTATCCTCACCTTCTCTCTTGGGACAGGTAAGTGCAACAGGGATAGAAAAGCTTTGAGGAAGTCTGTTCTCATCTGCATGAGAAGGGATTTGCCTGTGTTAATGATGGTTTTCATCCCCACAGCTCCAGGCCCTTTCTCTTCTGGTGCATCTCTCACACAGGTTAAGAACTGCCTGATCCTTTCCTGATTCAAGTGGAATTGTTTTCTTTAGCAGGGGCTGCTCCCAGGTACATCTGCACCTACTACGATGTGGTTGAGTACCTGAACATCTCCTCCCACAGCAAGCTGCATGCACACATACTGCCCAAGACAGACTTGAACGAGCCTGTGGAGGTGAAGATGGATTTCATGCTGATGGCTATTCTCTCTGTGGTAAGGACCCAAAACCCCCATTGAGTCTTTATAAGAGAAAACTGGGTAATCCCTAGGTTGGGATCTGGGTCTTGTGCCAGGCAGGGCTGAGCCAGCAAGGCCACAGGGGTGAAAATCAGCCCCTTTGACTTCAGCTCCCTGCTGTTATGGAAGTGGGGTTGGAAGATCCCGAGTATTTCCTCCCACCTGCTCCCAGGAAGAAGGGCAGAGGCAGGTTCAGGGGACCTGCTTCATAGGAGGCTCTAAACCCAACCCCGCAGAGTGCCTCAGCTGAGCAATGCAATTGCAGGGCACTGGCATGGAAATGGTAACCAAAACCTGTTTCTTTATATACCCCATTGGGCTGCTCCCACTCTTCATCTGCAAGACCAAGACCCTTGAGCTGAGCCCTTGCAATCTGTGCTGCCTGCTGCAATAGGGCGATAGGGGCAGGCTCTGCGCTCTGCATGGGATGTACCTAAGACAGTCAGGAACATGTTCCCTTTTGTTTCCCCAGGTCGAAAAGCTCCAGACGGTCACGTTTTACTTCGTTTTGAACCTGGTGGGTCCCTCGGGAGTGTTTCTCTGCTGTGACACCCAGCACAGAGGCTGCTGCTCAGCCCCCGCGCTCATTCCTCCCCTCTTTTACCCCAGGAGTGGAAAAACACTTTTGCAACCTGGAACCCACAGGATTTCTGTAACATTTCCAAAGTCGTTCTGCCCATGGAATCCTATTGGTCTCCCCCCATCTTCATTTTAGAGCGGTACGTTCCCCTTTTGCTTTTATCTACTGCCTTAAGAGAGATACAATGGAATTAAAGTGCTGGTGTTATTGTAGGAAATGGGATAAACTCATGTGGTTAAAAGTTGTTCCCATGAACTCTCTAAAGCCAAGAACCTTGTAATTTAGGTTAATGGTGACCACGGTTCATACAAAGCACTTTGTGGCTCTGTAATACTGTAACATCACCAGAATGTCCCACTTGGGCTGTAGTTAAAGCTGAGGAAGCAGCAGAGACTGGATGAAGCAACCCTTAGCAGTTAGTTGTGAGATACAGGATGAGCTCTGCGGGTCTGATAGCGATGGGCACCAGCTCTTTAGCTGGGATGGAGGAGGGAGGCAGCTCTGCAGTGAGCAGAGCCACCACTGAGCCCTGCCCTAGATGAGAATGGAAGCGAAGGAGAGAGGAAGGAGCTCAGGAGGATGTGCAGAACTACAGACCTCAGTTCAGAGGCACTCACCAGCCCTTCCTCAAGCCCAGGTTTCCTCCTCACTGCTACATCCTATAGGTGGGTGACGGCACAAAGCCCCCATGGAAGGATGCTTACAGCCCAGTGAGGAGCACCCCAGCATCCTGGAGCTCCATTGTTCTCTGCTTTTGTTTCCTCCAGAGTGAATGGACAAAACGCCAACTTGGATTACATGAGCATCACGCACAACGGCAGCTTCAACTCCACTCAGCCCTTCCAGGTGACCTTAACCTGCAGCTTGATGATCTTCAAGTTCCCCTTCGACACCCAGACCTGCAACTTGAGCATAGCCTCATTTCTCTACCCAGGTACAGCAGCAAGCTGGGCTTTACCGCATCAGCTGGGCTAAACTTGCAGGGAGGGGAAGAGATGGGATGGACCCCAGCTCACTCCTGGGTGCCAGCACCACAGGCTCACAATGGGTTAGTGGGGTTGAGGTCATGTAATTCATGTGGAAATGAGGTAGAACACTGTATTCTGTTTGGCACGTTTCCCAGTGGCATCTTGGGATTTATCTGGATGCTCTGTGGCAATTCCCCCTCCCCAGGACAAACCAAGAGACCAGGTGGCTTCCTGCAACAAGGCTACTGGTTCACATCCAATTTGGCTCCTCCTTAAACATACCTCAAAGGCATGGATATGAGAGGAGGTTAAGGACAGTTTCAGGGGTCCAAACTGCACTCAGAGCTCATCTCAACAGGAAGGGGTGAAAAATAAGCAGAAGTAACACAAAACCCTCCAGCTCCAGCACAACTATCCTAATTTCCCCTCTGATCTACATTCCCAAAGGTCCAGCCAAGCCTCTTGACCGGAGTCCACTGATGGGCAAAGAAACCCCAGGAGTGCAAGGAATGCTGCCTTCCCCATCTGCAGGCACCCTTGGTTGGGAGGGAAATGGAAAGGAGATCTCTGACCCCTAATAAATAACCTCAATTCTACAACTTCTCTCCTCCTTTGCCTCCTGCCCAACAGCAACAGACCTGGTTATGAAGACGAAGCGGACACCAGAGGATATGATGAGAGACAGCCAGAGTTACTTCCTAACTGATGGAGAATGGAAGTTCACCAACCTCAGCATCGTTGAATACATGGAAGACCTGGATGATGGACAGTTTTCTGTGGTCACCTACATGGTATAGCAATACTTTCATGTTAGATTGCACTGATTTGCCACCAAAAGGGGGAAAAAGCATGAAACGGCGATTTTCTACATTAGAGAACAGGGCTTTGCCCAAGGCAGAAAGTTATCTCCTGCTCACCTGTATTTTGTCCATCTTCTCCAACAGATTTCCATGGAGAGACGACCCACTCTGTATATTTTGAACCTGATCCTGCCAACATGCGCCCTGTATCTGCTGGACATGGCTGTGCTGTTTGGACCCAGCTCTCTCGAGGAGAAAATCGACTTCCAGATTGCCATCATCCTCGGCAGCTCCATGCTAGCTGTGATTCTCAACAACATCCTCCCAACGTCCTCCAACAGACCCCCTGTAATAGGTACTCATCTCAATAGGAACTAGCTGGGTTTTACACAGGTACCAACCCTGAAGTTGGGGCCTAAGCCTGAGCCTCACCCTTGAACACTGTCAGGGATGGGGCAGCCACAGCTTCTCTGGGCACCCTGTGCCAGTGCCTCAGCACCCTCACAGGGGAGAGCTTCTGCCTGATGTCTAATCTAAATCTCCCCTCTGTCAGTTTAAAGCCATTCCCCCTTGTCTTATTCCCACAGGACCTTGTCCAAGGCTCTGCTTCAGCTTTCTTGTAGCCCCTTTAGGCACTGGAAGGCTGTTCTGTTTCCCTATTGTCCTGCAGTGGTGTTTTTCCTGGGCACCTTCCTCCTCATGATCATGGCTGTGTTAGACACCTTCCTCCTGTTGCACCAGAAGCACAAATCCCTCTACTTAGACAAGGTTCTCAGAAGCTTCCAGCAAGGTAAACCCACAACCTCTTAGACCAGTTGGTTTGGTGCATTTTACCGCGGGTTCCTTTGGGCGAGGGTTGGTTTCAGTTGTGGCAGTCACCCACCAACGCTGACATCTGCTCTTCACAGATGTGCACACCAAGCTGACAATGAGAACCATGGCCAAGCAGAGCACAAAACACCTGGCCAAGGATGGTGCCCAACAGCCAAACCTTCCCAAGAAGGCCCAGGGAAAGGGACAACCAGCCAAGCGCCATTGGCAACCACAGGAGCAGGACCTGTTCCTGCCTGCTCTGGAGAAGGTGCTTCTCTACAGCCACTTCTTCCTGTCCCTGGTTTTCTTTGCTATTATTTCTGTTAAATGGAGCAGCTGAAGCCCAGCTCTGGGTCAGTTGCTCTTCCCTGCATTGCTTCTAACCCTTCTGTGTAGCTTTTATCCAGCTTCATTCATTGAGCCGCAGTTGTTTCAGTAACACCATCACAAAGACAAATCCACAGGGTGTGAGATCTGCATGCTTAGCTCTTCATGCTCTGTTCAGCAGAACTACATCTGCTTCTTAAAGCACTGTGTGGCTAGCAAGGTATGTCAATAAAGCAGTTGTGAAATCTAGGGCTAACACCTCCATCCTATTCCTCTGTAATTCTCACCACACGCATGACCAATGGAAAGGGATTTAATGCCCATCTCTTACAGAGATGTTTCCATTTTGGGGAAGGGTGTTGGAAGAATCCCACCTCAGATAATGAAATAAACCAGTGCAAGTCTGAAGCATTTGTTTCTGTGAGTTTCAGTGAGCTCTGCACCATCCAGAAACCAGGGACAGAGAGAACAGGATCACCAAGGTTAAAGAGGTGATAGGTGGGATGTTTCAAACAGATAAAAGCTCTTTTTTAATGTATCTCAACACATCTACATTATTTCAACTCCTTTTGCAATTGGCTGTATTTAAACCATCACAACCAACCTAAAATCAACCCTAGACCTTCTTGCTGTAGAACTCACATCTCCCACTGCGCTGCACATCACTACGAAACACACCCCAACATCATAAAAGGCTTTATACCTTCAACTCCTATGCAGCTAGTTGCCTGCAATGGCAGAACTACATTCCCTGCACCACGCAGTAACACAGGTGAGGAGACAGTTTCGTTACAACAGAACTCAGTTTGATCAAGAAAGAATCCTGCCCTCGCTACAAAACCAAGCTCACAGGTAGAAAAGACAAAACCCAGTGTGCTGTTTGCAAGCTCATGTATTGCTCCTCAAGACCTTGCAACCGCATGTCCAAGATCTAAGGCACAGACAGGAGGAGGAGTACTTTATTTAGATGACCACAGAGTCTGAGAGCTGTTAAACAAACCGCTTCTGGACAAGTTTACAGATCAGCGATTGGCTTGTGGGGCCAGTACGGGTATTTCTCCTTGTCCAGTCTGGTTTCAGGGAAGGCTTCATGTAAGTCTTCAAACGTCATCTGTTCAAAGGGGATCATGTTTTTGAGCTTCTGGAGCTTGAAGTGGGAGCAGAGATAAAACGTGTTATAAATCACTTATCAGCAAGAAAGAGCAAAGCACACCCCCAGGTACGAACAAGGGTTAAAGGCAATATTCTCTAAGCAAAGCCCAGGCTTACCTCTTGCTCGTACTGGGCGATACGAGCTTTGGAAGCCTGCACATATTCCGCAGCACTCTTTGCCTGCAGGAAAGGAGAGGACACCGTGGACATGGTTATGATAAAGACAGTGACCTAGAGTGAACCTGCAAGCCTGTGCTTGAAGCTGGCATTAAAAATCTTCATCATTACACTAGGACCAAATCCCAAACAGCCAAACCATCCCATGTGCAGAGATCCTCTTGCTCATCCAAAAGCCAGAGACACTGAGCATCCTTCAGATCAGGCTGCCCTGCCAGTGCAGATGCACATGAAGAACATCTCTTCCCTCTCACCCTTTTCCATCCCCACAGATAACCCTGGCATTAGGGAATATTTCAAACACTTACAGCCTCCTGCTCTTGGGCATTGATTTTGGAAGTCTGTGTATCCACTGGCTCAGGAATCTTCAGTGCACTGAACTGTCAATCAAAAGAGAACATCTTAGTTATGCAGTTTGATTAAATAATCCTTCACACTGAGCTCATTCCCCCTGGCAGCAGGGGAGCATTCCCTCCTTTCTTCCCAGGATATACTCACAACCATGTCAGTTAATGGGCTTTCTAAAACTGATCACTTCAGTGTGACTGTGAGCTTAAAGCCATTAGTCTGTATTACATACTACTACCAGGGCACACAGTGCTACACACATTCACTGGAGAAAGCATTGGAAGGAAGCAAGAAAGTCTAATAGCAAAGAGTTGACACATGGCAGACTGTTTTCAGCCAGGACAAAGCTTCCAGCTCCATCTGAGGCCAGTGAGTCCTCCCAGTGCCAGGTCAGTTTTCATAGTGTCAGTTGACACCACCTGCCCGTCAGCACAAGCCTTGCTCCTGCCTTTCAATTCCTGCTTACAAACAGGGTAACGAGCCCTGCAGGCAGCACATTTCACAGTGTGCAGAGCCGTACTTGCTACCTCCTTCCATTCAGTGAGTTAGAGAAACAGGTCAGATGTTTGCCTCAGGAGAGGCACTGCCCAAATACACTGCTGCAGCCAAAAGAACTTATCAGGTTTTCTTTCACCAGCCTTCTCAGTGCATAGTGCCACAGGCTCCCTCCTGAAAGATGAGCGCCTCAGGGTTAGTGATGCTCACTTGCAGGATGCAAAGCCAGGGCCCCTTCTAGCCAAAACCGGCCTCCTCTGCCAATCCTGGTGTTTTCCTCCCACCACCAAAGACATTCCCCATTTAAACCTCCATAAGGCAACACGCTGCTTACAAAGACTGACCTTCTGCTGGAACTCATCCACCATGCCAGCTTTAGCAACAGCAGACTTGTAGTAGGCCCAGTCAATGGTCGGGGGCTTCTCTGGCAGGGCAGCCAGCCTAAAGGGAGAGATGAAAGAAGTCACAACCAGCGCTCCATGGTGCCATCATTTGAGCTCTGCCACAGTTACTTAGAGCCTGGTAGGTTTAGTTTAGATCTTTTCAGCTCCCTCATTAGCAAGCAGCAGTGAACCACTTCTGTAAATCCTTGACACAGGCTTCTCTATACAGACAAGACAAGAAGAGCCCAGCCTGCAGCCCTGCTCCATTGGAAACCACTGCACAGCATCTCTGTGAGCACCCCTGTAAAAGGATCAGGCAGTTCTCACAGCACTGCGCTAGAGGTGATCAGCAACATTAAAGGGACTTGTGTCCAGCAGTGGATGGTGAAGGATGTAAAGAGTCACGAATGCATACAGCATTTAATGGACAACAAGGCATGGGTTTGGTTCTGAACACCAAACTGCTTGCACAGAGCCCGTTTTCACACTTCAGCCATTGTTTTACTCCGAGGAGGATTATGTAAAGGTGATTTGCCACAAAAAGCCACCGGCAGCCTCGAAGGTGACCTGTTTAAAGCCCGTGAGGACACTCCTGTAAGCCCATAGTTACCAACCCCGGCTTAACCCAGCACACAGCCGGCTCAGCTGAGGGGCTGAGCCGCCCCACGGGCAGGCGCGGGGCAGGCACTCACCGGGCCGACAGCGCATCGCTGCGGGTCTTCAGGGCGTTGAACATGGGCCTCTGGCTCGGGGGCACCCTCTCGGCGAAGGCCGCCCAGTCAATGGCCTTGATGGCAGCTCTGCGCCCCGCCATGCTTCCGGCTGCGCCACGGAGAGACAGCACCAGGCGGGTTACACCGCGGGGAGGGCAGGGGACGGCAACCGCGGGCACGGGGAGGGCGGCGCCGGGCCGGGAACGCGGCACCGGGACACGGGGACTACGGGACGCGGAAGCATCAGGGACATGGGGACACCGCGGTAGAGAGCGAACAGGAGACAGGGGCACCGCGACAAGGGGATACGGGGCTAACGGGGCACCGGGACACCGCGACACGGGGGTAACCGGACACGGGGATAATGGGACACGGGCTAACTGGACAACGGGACACTGCGACACGGGGCTAACAGGACACCGGGGCACCGGGACAATGGGACACGGGGCTAACGAGATACGGGGACACCGGGACAATGGGACACGGGGCTACCGGGGCACCGAAATACGGGGATAACGGGACACGGGGCACCGGGTCGCGGGGGCACCGCTCCCAGCCCATCCCCGCCACTGCCTCGCTCCCCCTCCATGTGTCCCCCCCACACACCCAGGCCCGTCCCGTCCCGGAACCCCAGGGCCCCCTCCCCGGTTCCCTGCTCCCCAGCCCCGCTCTCACCTTCACTGACCGCCACCGAGCACCCCCGGAAGTCCCGGCCCCGCTGCCCAATCAGGGCTCAGCCCTACCGGAAAGCGTCGCTCCCGTCCGTGCCCGCTGCGGCCGCCGCCCGGAAGCGCTCCCCGCGCCGGAAGCGGGGCGGTGATGGCGGCGCGGCGGCGCTGAGCGGCTCCGCCATGGCCGAGCTGGCGGCGGCAGCGGAGGGGCCGCCGCGGGGCCGCACGCCCAGCCCGGGCCCAGGGGGAGCGCCGGGGCCGCCCAGCCCCCGTGCGGCCGGAGCGGCGGCGGGCTCCGGTGCGGCGCTGTCCCCGCCCGGCGCGGCCCGGCCTCCCGCCGCCGCCTCCAAGTGGGTCCGGCTGAACGTCGGCGGCACGTACTTCGTGAGCACCCGGCAGACGCTGTGCCGGGAGCCCAAGTCCTTCCTGTGCCGCCTCTGCTGCCAGGACGGGCCCGAGCTCGGCTCCGACAAGGTGAGGCCGCGGCGGGGACCGGCCCCGGCAGCCGGTGCCGCCGGGGAGCAGCGCCCCGAGCCCGGTGTATGGGTTCGGTGTCCGCAGGGCCCTGGATCCCCATGCACGGCCCTGGTCCCGCGGTGTGGCGAGGCCCTGCCCATCTCCATAGCAGCCAGTGCACTGCCGTGTTCCGCAGGGCACACGTTGCTCTGGTACACGCCATCTCCTCGTCCCATATCCTGCCCCACCGTTACATGGCTGCTCATATCCCCAAGCGCGGGGCTTAGGGTCTGCCCAGTGCTGGTGACAGCCGGGTGCTCCTCCATCTCTTGCCAGGACACAGGTCCCCCTCAAGGAGCAAACCAGCAGCGCTCCCATGATGGTTACAGCAGGGAGGAAACAAGAAGGAAGCTTTCCTAGAAATAAGAATGTGTTTTTGTAATCCTATATTCCACTTTGCTGTCATAAAGACCACAGTGCGTGTTCCTTATGAGTGCACAGCTTGGAACTCATTGCCATTTGTCATAAGGGTTTTGCAGACAGTTACACTTGTACTTGCAGGTGTGCTGTAGGAGCTGCAGCACCAGGTTTTGTACGTGCTTTGTGGGTAGGGCAGACTGGGAGTCTGGTCTTTGGGCACTCTGTTCAGAGCTCGATGGAAGTTGTGATCAAAGTAGGAGTCACTGCTTCAGTGAGTAGAGGAGGTGATGTTTCAGAATGTCTCTTTTGGTCTTTTATTGCTTTAGGGCAGGTTGACTGCCAGGAGAAATGATGCATTAAAGCGGGGTAAGGGAGTGATACGGAAGAGTTCTGCACAGGGTTTGTCAGTGTTCCAAAGTTGGCTCAAGAGATGCTTTTGGTTGTGAATTGTTGGTTATTTAACAGTTATTGTGTTGCTGGAGCCATGGCTGGTGCATTGCAGCGTGTACTTCCAGTAGCAGAAAGGAGTAAACATGAGCGACTTCAATGGTTGCATTCTGTTCGCTGGAGCTGGAGATCCAGTTTTCCTCCAGAGCCCCCCAATCAGATGAGTCTGCAAAACAAATTTAGGCAGCAGACAACTGCCAGCTTTTGGTTCTTATTATTGCAGTGAAGAAAACCTAAGTTAAGCCCTGCTTTTCTCTCCAGATAGTAAACTCCGTGTGTAGAACTGGTTAATTCGAAGCATCTACAAACATTCTGAAGCTGCAGCATTTGTGGCAGAGTTCAGCTATTGAAAACATAAATGTTGGTTTACATGTGGGGTCACTAACACACCTTTCACAGGCCGAGGAATCCTGGTTCTTAAAAGGAAAACTGTTCCATTTATTGTTTTCAACTGAAATGATTCTTTGCCACTTACCCATCCCCTCTTCAACAGGACGAGACAGGGGCGTATCTCATCGATAGAGACCCCACCTATTTTGGTCCAATACTGAACTACCTCCGACACGGGAAGCTCATCATAAACAAGGAGCTTGCAGAGGAAGGTAAGAGAAGAACACTGGGGAAGAACTGACCAGTGGTTTTCTTCCAGCCTGGGAGCATGGAATCTGCAGCACATTCAGCATGTGGGATTTTCTCTGGGATGGATTTGGAGTCAGGAGCAGCTGTTCCACCCTCATAGCAGAATCATCTCTATTCTACCCTGTATGAAGTAACAGAATCTATGTCTGCTTTTGCTTCCTTCCTTAGGGGTACTGGAAGAAGCTGAGTTTTATAACATTGCATCTCTCGTGCGGCTGGTGAAGGAGCGGATACGGGACAACGAGAACAGAACCTCTCAAGTAAGCACAGGGATATTTGTGTTTCTGTAGCACAGCAGGAGGACAAGTGTGGCTGTCAGCACTTCTAGTAGCAGTCCCTTGGTTTAGCAGTTATCTTTAACTGGAAGAGTGAGTACTTTCAAGTAGATCCAGGGCACAGCCAGGAGAAAGCATCCATTATGGTTCCATAAGCACAGAACACTGAGCCATCTTGTTAGTGCTGTAGGGAAGGACAAGGAAGAGTTAAACAAGAGAGGCCAGGAGCAAAGCTGGGTAGCTGTAAAGCAAAACATGCTGCTTGGGTAGGTAACGAGTAGTTAAAACTCTTCCTTCCCTAAACCATTTTCTTCCCTTTATATCCATGTGAGGCAATGTTCCCCATTGCTGCTCAGCTGATAACACATCCAGGAGATTCCATTGCAGAAGAGAAATGTTTTCAAAATGCAGTAAATGGCTTTGGAAGCCAAAGAGGTTTTGCTTTTAGTAACTCTTAGATGCGTAGAAGGCTTTTAAGAGAACTGTGCAAACCATATGTACCTGTTTTAGGATCAGTTGGATGGTCAGAAGGACAGACCCTCAGGGCTCAGACTTCCTCAGATGACGAGACAACAGAGCAGGAGATGCTTATTCACTTTCTAGCTTGATACTAGTATAACAAGTACTAACCTCACACTTTTCTTCTCCCTGCCTTAGGGACCTGTGAAGCATGTGTACAGAGTCCTGCAGTGCCAAGAGGAAGAGCTCACACAGATGGTGTCCACTATGTCCGATGGGTGGAAGTTCGAACAGGTACTGCTACCAAAGAACTGTAGAACCCCTTTGAAAGCTGCATGTGGAATAAGCAGAGTTTGGTACTGAATTGCACTTCACACTGCTCTGCTCTTCTGGATAAGCAGCCTGAAGAGAGCAGCAGTCTGCTTTGTCAGGGAAAGGCAGAATTCACCCAAACTGCAGAGAGATGTAATTTTCTCTCGGTGTTTTCTGTACTGTTGTCAAATCCCAGAGCATGACTTCCCTTCTGCGTTTCATAACATAGACCAGGCCCTGGTGCAACAGTTTAATACAGGAAAATTAATAGAGTCATATAAAAATACTCAACTTTTCTGGAAGCTCAAAGCCACAATTCCTACATTTGCAAAAGAGGCACTGAGTGACAGGAGAAATGCACTTCCTGCAGAAGCCTTTCTAATGCAGCTGGGTTTGGGACTAAGTGTCACTGAAGTTGCATAGGGCATTAGTTCCACATTTGGTTTCTGGAATCAGATACAGTCCTTTCATTTAAGAGGATGGAGAACTGGAAACCAGCTGGCCTGCATGTTAGTGCTCTATTAAACTGCAGAATAGGCTATGAATTACAGCTCTTTGTTCCCAAGTAATCTAGCTTCAGTACAGGTGGATGCTATGGGAAATGTGTGCTGCCACAAAGTGAGGCAGAGGATGAGCAGCAGCACTTTGCATCACTTGTTCATGTGTATCTGTTCCGTAATGCCTGAAAATTCCTATTGTATTGTGGAGATTTACCCAAAAACTCTTGCTCCTGGGAGCTGGTGGTGACATGTCGTGAGCAAGAGCCAGCAGCTGCTTTATGGAAGTGCAGTTCTCCAACAGCCAGCAGAATTTGCCTTTCACACATGCATGTGTACAGCCCCAAAAGTAGGAGACCCTACACAGGAATCTGCATCCTTGCATCTTTTCTGGTCCTGCTTTTCATGTGTAATGAGAGGGTCAAGACACCAATTGTAAGCAAATGTTACTGGGTTCCCTTCCAGTTCCATCCCTCCGCCATCCACAACCTTTGCACAAATCCACACCAGCTTCCTTCCTGCACACTGCAGGCACCAGGAACATCTCCTGCGTGTCCTGCTCCAGCACACTCCCACCCTCAGGAGCTGGTTTTGCCTTCCCCAGGACTCACATTTCAGACACCCCAAGGGCAGGAATGAACAGGACAGACAGATACAATGCCTTGGTCAGGACTAGACCTCACACAGCAACACAGCTTCTCTGCAACTTTGAGGTGGGCCAGACTAGGTCACAGAGTGGGAACATGGCAATGGTGCAGCACCGGATGTGTCCCCTGCTGGGAGGCCCATTGTAGCTGCAGCCTGTTGCCAAAGCTTTGCCCTGATGTGCACCCCTGCATGGCTTCTACCACTACCCCAAATCACACCACTTGGCATGCTGAGATGCGTTAGGAAAGACAGTAACAGATCTACGTATTGGGAACAAAGAGAGCCCGTTGCTAAATCTTAGCCTGGATGCCAATGATGGAACAGAGCAGATATTCCCTTTCTGGCCTCTTTGGATTCAGTCACTTTGTAACACCAAAAAGACCGGTTCAGAAACCTGCGGGAAAGCCAGAAACAGTAAAAGCTGTTGCAGCCTCATTTGTCAGGATTGGGCTCTCCGAGGAGCACGTGGCCTTTCAGGTTCTCTGTCTTGTTCTATTCAGTCCTGCTTAAATTAGGATGGAAAAGAAATTTGCTATTTTAAACAGAAACCCATTCTTGTGTCCCCCTACAGTCCCATAGTCTGGAAAACTGCTGTCTTTATCAGAAGAGGCTTTGTTGAGTAAATAGTCATGTGTGGTATTGAGGTATCAAAGAGATTCAACTCTCAAAACAGGAGCAGGGAAGCAAAAGGAAAAAGATAAAAACCCTTTATAATCCTGTGGCTATCTTTTGGCATCAGCATAAACATCAAAGCCTGTTTAAAACAGTACTGGAGGTCAGGCAGTACACCAGCCCCCCAAGTGTTCCTACAGCTGCACTGTAACCACATAGTCATCTGTCTCAAAGATGGAGCTGCCTCTTCTAAAATCCATTAGGACATGGAGGTTAGGGTGCACGCTGCATATTAAAGTTTCCTGGTATACACGATTGATACAAGTCCTGTTGCTTTCTTCAGATTACTTAGATTTGTTATCTAGAAAGCAGAACTGAGCAGTAAATGATAAATTAGCTCTGCACTCCAGGATGTCCTTTTAATGTAATAATGATAAATGAGACAGATGGGATTTCTTGGATCCAGTCCAGACCCCTCATCGCAACAGTAATAGAATATAATCCCATTTATACAGATATCAACTCCATCTTGACAGCATCTACATAAAGAATGGTGCCAGTTTGCCTCATGCCCCCTGGTTAATCTAACATCTGTCTGTGGTAAAGAACTGCCTTTCCAGATTTTACACATCAAAGTCACAGGGCAAGTTGAGAGTAGAGAGCTCAGTGGAGCCTGGACCAGGAAGCCTGCATTGCCCACCCCATGTCTGAATTAGCTGGATATTATGTGTGGCAAAATATATATCTAGCAAAATACATATAGAGAGAGGGAAAACTACATGATGTGTCTTTTTGTGCCCTTAGTGATTACCTGGGACATGTTCTGTTGTGTTCAGCATTAGTTTCAGGCTGGGATTTCCTCCTGGGCTCCAGGTGCCAGCAGAGGGCTCTGGAGCTCGGCTGTGTCCCTGCCTTACACACACAGCAAAGCCTGTGACACAGAAGGCCATGGGGAGACACTTGAGATCCAGAATAGGTTCCACTGGGCAATAGTGGGAATAAAGCAGAAGCCAAGACTTACCGATATTCCCTTGGTGATCTCCCGTTGCACAGCTCATCAGCATTGGATCTTCCTATAACTACGGAAACGAAGACCAGGCAGAATTCCTCTGCGTTGTGTCCAGGGAGCTCAACAATTCTACCAATGGCATTGTCAAGGAGCCGAGCGAGAAGGCAAAGGTGAGGCATGGGCTCAGAGGTGTTGGCTTGAATTCTGCTTTGCAAAGAAAAAGCTGTACTTACAGTAGCAGTTCCTGTGTACCAGCTTTCCTATGTCCTCTGTGCATGATCTTTCCCTCTTGGAAGATGTTATGTGTTACTGACAACGAGAGCCAAGGCTGTATGTTTCAAATCAAGACAAATTGGAGAGAGGGGCTTGGAAAAGGCAGCCAGCATTGCAAGGACCTTTGAGACTGGTCACATTTTGTGCTTGAAGGATGTTGCAAGGAGAGACAGACTGTTTCTCTCTTCAAGCCGCTCTGTGATACCAACAGAAAACATCATTCTTAACTCCTGGGAGGCAGCTAAGCAGGATTTCTAGAGAAGGGGCTCAGTCTGCTTTAAGCAGCCTGTCATTTGTTAGGCTTGTAGCATAGAAGCCAGCAAGATACACTCATGTTAACTCTGTCTCCTTTCTCTGCAAAAAAACAAGGACTCTGAGCATGAGCTTCTGCATCTAAACTTGTCCAAGGTGTTTATAGAAACCCTCTTCTTTTCCAGATTCTTCAGGAGCGAGGATCCCGGATGTAATTCCAGTGTCCACTCCATTAACACTCCCAGATGTCAAAGGGCAGCCCAGCTGGGCAGAGCGCCTCTCCGCAGTGCAACCTTGCCCTTGTACAGTAACCAAGCTAATGCAAAGCAAAGCCGAGCCTGTCCTGCCAATGGTGAATAATTCTGGTCATAACCAAAGGCTTCCCTCTTACCCTGGAAACCTGGGAAGGAAGAGACTTTTCCAGTGGGATGGTCCTTTCCACAAGTATTTGGTTTCTTTTCTTGCCCAGCGCTGTATTGAGTTTCTCCACCAGCAGCTGGGCCGCATTCCCAGTCGGAGCCTTTGTGAAGGTTGCTCAGGTCCACAGGCCCATGGGATCAGTCCCACCTTCCACAGGCTGGTGCAGGTGGGAGGATCTGTATTTGAGCTGTGCCATTTCTTGCACCCAGAGCTGCCACCAAGAAAGTGCAGGGACCTTGCAGTGCTCCCCCTCCTGATCAGCCACATCCCCCCCCCGATCAGAACAGGGCTTTGAAAGGAGGAACAAAACAACCACGAGTTAAAAAACCCACACAAACTTCTCCATTCTTGCTTTGTATTTGTTCCTTGTTCAATTCCTAAGAGCTAAGTTTAGATACTATGGGGAGGGGAGTTGTGTGTACACCTTATGTGGGTCTCGCTGTTAACACTATTACATACGGGCTCCTGGTGTTTCCCAAAGCCCATCACTTCGCATGCATAAACAGAGACCTGTGTTCACCCAGAGTAGTGATAGAGTGATAGTTGTCCTTCACGCTTCTCTGCTGAAGAGGAGCAGTGACATCTTCCCCTCCAGCACCCTGCCATGGCCATATCTTAGCCTGGTGTAAAGTCACAAGGTTAGGGACTTGCTGTTGCCAAGTTCAGCTTTGCCTTGTTTGTCTCCAGCAGCGTGGGCTCTGTCTCCTTCCTTCTCCCCAAGGGAGGGCTTCAGACAGAATCTCTTTTGTACTGTAGCAAGCAGGTAGGTTTGTTTTAACCCCTGAGATCCTTTGTGGAGGAGATCCCCTTACTTACAAGGAGCGATTTACCTGCAGCCCCCTCGTGTCCCCACCTTTAGGAGATCACCTCAAATTATAGAGGGGCAGCACAGAGTTGGGGTGGGGGTTGGTGAAAAGTTGCCAAACTGTTGTAATGTTTCTTGTCCAAAGTGATGTGTCAACTTCTGTGACTTTTCTTTCCTTATTTTGTTCTGAATGCCTTGGATGGATGTGCAAAATGTTCGTTTGTGCCTCTTTTGGATTCTGATCTTAGCCAAACTGCAGTCACTGGTTCCCTTCTGTTAACCTGTGCCATCCCTAACCAAGGGCATGTCCCTCCTAGTCTGGTAAATGGAATTACTTAGCAATTTGCTGCATGTTTTTCCCCCCTTCATCCTGGCTTTGTTCTCTGTAGCCCAAGGGTCCAGGCACTTGGGTCTCTTTGAGTCAAGTCCCAAACTGACATGAAAGCGCAAAGCTTCAGAGAAGCTGGAATTCACAGACATGGGTAAGCTCAGAGCAGTTGGTTCTCAGTAAGGTATCAGAAGATTCCTCACCTGGACTGAGGAGTTGGGCTCCATTTTGGAGGACTTCAGCTACCTGTGGTCTCCTTAAAGCTTTGAGATAGAATTAGGCAGGTTTCCCATCTTACCACTTGTTGCTGACAGGGCCTTGCAGCAGCGTTTCCGACGGTCCAACAACCAGTTTGGCAGACAAGACATGCAGCGAGGACACCAAGTGACACCACTGCACTCTGCCTCTTCCCACTGCTTCTGTATGCCATCTTGCCTGTCCCCTCCCATCCTGCTTTGCCTCATTCTCAAGAAAGGTTGATTATTGATGCTAGTTTAATCCTGGTAACAACAGACTGTGCCAAATGTCTTTGAGTGCACCTTATGTCAGTTACAGGCTGGTGAAGTGCAGCTGGCTTGCCATCACGCTGAAGAACCCAGCTCCTCTTCTGCTCTCCATCTTCCCTGTTTATAATGTGGTGAGATGGTGCTGGTGTGATTAGACCATACGCCTTGGCTGGGCCTAAATAACACTGTGATGTGTGTAGAGATCTCTCTTCTGTCAGTATCTTGTAGCCTCGCTCATTGTCTGCTTGTGCTCACAGCTAAGAGGTCGAGAAGCACATGTAAGCAACTTAGCAGCCTAAAAAAGCCCTTGGACACTCTCATCTGTCTTCTTTCCCTTCCTTAGAGGAGGGAGTTTCTGGGAACTGGTCAGGAAATCCCAAACTAAAGGCAACAGGAACTGGTTGAGCTGCTTTTGTCACATCGATGCCAGTTGAGCACCTTGCTGTTCAAGCTATGGAGCTCAAAGCAGAGGGAGGCTTTCTGTCCAGTACAGCTCAAGTAGATAACAATGACACATCCTTGCTTGCTTGTATCACCAGAAATGCCGTCCATGGGGAAGCCCACCAGAGGATTGCCTGATACAGGAGTGATGCGCTCCCTCCCTGTTCTGAGCCACAGAGAGCCTAAAAGCTCCCATTGCAGCTAACAGAGGAGCTGTTTAACTCACGTGCACAGGAAAGGCTTTCAGAGTTGCATCTTGCTTTTCCCTTCCATGCTGCTTTCTGCAGTGAGGATGTGCCAGGGGATTGAAGACTCTGGGTCCAATTGCAGGGTCTTTAAACTCAGCAAACCAAGTTGATGGTAAGAGACCAGTCGGTACTGGACACTGGAGCTCTTGGGTGATATTTAGGACCAGGTATGACTTCCATCCAAAGCAGGTACATTCCCAGGAGGATTTCTCCTTTCCCAACTGTGCTTGGTCACCTTTACCCCGAGGACCAAGGCTAGTCTGCATTATGCACCAGTTGCATCCCTTCTGTGCTCAAGACAGGGCTTTTCCTTCCATTGCCTATCACTCAGTCACAACTATATCAAAACTAGCACCGAATCAGGATGAAATCTGTCCAGTTCACTCCAAAACAGGCAGCGTGCTGTGGTGAGTAGGTGTAGATCTACTGGATATCTCAGAGCGTTTGTGCCTCTTGGGAAGGGTCATGTTCGAGTATGAACCCTGGCAATGGCGAGTTCGACGCTTTGGGTTTTCAACACATTCCCAGTGGCCTAAGATTGTCCCATTATGGCAAGACTGGAAAGAACCTCTCCAAGTGTCTTTGTCTCTGCACATTTTTAAACACAAAGCGGTTTTACTCAGGGGTGACTGAGTGGGCTGAGGCAGAGGGGGCCTGGGGGGGGGGCTGCGGGGCGCTGGGCCGTGGGCTCCCCACCTTTACCTGCGAACCCGGAGGTTTTGTACAGTTTGTGTCAGTGCCCTTTGCTACCGGTTCTCTTTGGTTATTAAATGTGTTTGAATAACAGGCGAGATGCTGTGAGTGATTGAGCGAGTTCTTGGCTTTCCAATAAAGAGTCTGAGATGGGTTTGAACCGGTTGAACTGAGGGGTCTGCGGCTTTCTCTGCATCCACACAGGGATGGATGCATGTGGGGAAGGAAACGTGCTTCTGCCTCCATTTATAGCAGTGATTTGCTAAGAGGTGGATATAATTAGATTTGGGAGTCCTTGGTTATATTCAGAGACCAGGCTGGACAGAGCCTTGGGTGACATGGCCTAGTGTGAGGCGTCCCTGCCCATGGCAGGGGGTTGGAACTGGGTGGTCTTAAGATCCTTTCCAACCCCAACCATTCTGTGATTCTCTAAAGGCAAACTGCAGCATGTTTCTGGTTTTCCATTATAAAAAAGAATTTCAGCTTCTACATTTTATCGTTTCCACTGACAACCCCAAGCAAGCAGAATGTTAATACAAGCATTAAATGTGAGTAGCTAAGAAAGGAAAATGCCTTTTTTTTGTCAGCTTTTGTTCGCTAAACCCTTACTCAGTGCTGGACCAGCACATGTGGCAAAGGTCTGGCTGTTCAGACAGCTTCATCCCTTCCAAAGGAGCATGAGCAGCAGGTGAAGGGAGGGGATTCTCCCCCTCTGCTCTCATGAGGCACACATACACACTCCCCTGCATTTCTGTGTTGAGCGCTGTGGTCTCCAGCACAAGGATACAGGCCTTTTGGAGTGAGTACAGAGGAGGCCATGGAGATGCTGCAAGGGCTGGAGCGGCTCTGCTCTGGAGCCAGACTGAGAGACCTGAGCTGGTTCAGCTTGGAGAAGGTTCTGGGTAGACCCTAGAGCAGCTCCAGTGCCTAAAGGGGCTGCAGGAAACCTGGAGAGGGGCTTGGGACAAGGGTCTGTAGGGACAGGCCAAGGGGAATGGCTTGAACCTGACAGGGGAGACTGAGCTGAGCTCTTAGGCAGAAGCTCTTCCCTGTGAGGGTGCTGAGGCGCTGGCACAGGGTGCCCGGAGAAGCTGTGGCTGCCCCATCCCTGGCAGTGCTCAAGGCCAGGTTGGACACAGGGGCTTGGAGCAAGCTGCTCCAGTGGAAGGGGTTGGAGCTGGATGAGCTTTAGGGTCCCTTCCAACCCAAACCAGTCTGGGATGACCACAAGAGACCGACACTGAACACCCACAGCAGCCTGCAAACAGCTCTCCACATACCCCACAAGACCAAGTACACACGGTTCTTGCCATCACCAAGGCAAAAGAGGGAGTGGACATAAGAAAAGCAACTGCAGTTTCTTCAAGGCAACTTACTCTTGCATCCAGAGGCTGCTCTGGGCATGGGCATTAGCCCAGAAACCCTGGAGGATGGTTTAAATCACTGCTCTATTACCCCCACCTCTGCTACCACACACGCAGAGCTGCCAGTGTTTGTGTCCTTAGTGTGACTGGGGATTAGCTGGGGTTTAGTTCTTCCCTGTTTACACAGCATTGCAGCTCGAATGCCTGAAACAGAGGGACCAACAGATGGACAGGCAGCGGGGAGGCAGAGGCAAACCACAGAGTCAAGCTCTGGTGATGCCAAAAGGTGGATAACATCAACAGTTGAGGCCCAACATGGGGAGAGGAGGAGGGTGGGAAGACAGGGATTAACTCAGTCCTTTGACTACAAGTGGCTGTTGCTGCTGTGAAGCTACCCTGCAGGTACCGTGCTGCCTCCATCCCCACCGCAACAGGAGCCTCAGAACAGAGCTGAAGGAGGTTGAGACAACCCCAAACCCGGGTTTAACACCAACACCATGGAAGACAATGAGACTCTTCCCATCACAGGTTGCTCACAGGGGCAGAAACCACGGCTGAGCCCAGTCACCACATAGCATGGGCTCATCTGAGAACCTCCCTGCCCCATGCCCATGTCTCTGACCGCAGGTCTGGGCTGCAGTGAACTTGCCCAGGGTGAAGCCATGCTCAGGTGCTGGCAGCATCTTGGGCAGAGGCAGGAGCTGCAGGGCTGGCCCTGCTGGCACCACCTGTGCATTCATTCATTCACATTCACAAGGTAGGACTTGTCAGCAGATGGGATCACAGACCACATCCAAATCACAGCTGGCACACCAGGCCTCCCTGCTCTCCACTGTAGGGCTGTCCTATAGGGGACATAAGGACATATGAGCCACATAAGGACACCCAATGCCACATCACCGGGCAGAAGACACAAGTGTCTCTCAGTGGTTTCTGCTGAAGCCACAGGTTGGAGCTGCCAGAGCTTGGCACCATCCTTCCCTTTCCCATCAAAGCCTGTGCAATGCATTTAACTCCTCTTAGAAACCATTCCTTCACACTGCAGAGCACACAGGTGATGCCCCAGTGGTACCAAGCAGGGAGAGGCTCTGCAGCACAGGCAACAGCATCCCATGTGGTCATTGTTACCCTGCCTAAAGTACCCCTATACACCAGCTCTCAACAAGCAGGTTCTGCTGTTGCCAGGCCAAAGCTCAGCTCTCCCTATTGCCAAACCCAGGCTGCTCTAGAAGGGAAAGAGAGGGGTGGTTTGCTGCAGAACTGGCCTCAGCAGAGGGTTAAGGCTCTTGGCTGGGTTTGCCCGAGCACCCCAGGCTGCCCCAAGATGTGAGATACCCACTGCAGGCACCTCCATCCATGGAGCTGCGCCACGACCGAGGCAGGGGGTGGATGGTGGCACCCAGTGAACTCCATACCTGCCCATGGCAGGGTTCAGCCCATCCTACCCCCGAGGGGCAACTGAGGGAAATGAGTTCCCCAGGTGCTTGGGAGGAAGATGAGTAACAAACCCTGGCTGAGGTTTCCCGACAGCACACGCATCCCAGCTGCGGCAGAGGGGTTCAGTGCCCCTTTATCAGCCTATTCCGCAGCAGAAGGGGCATAAAAGGAGCAACCCCACACCTCAAGGACAGGCTCAGGCTCTGAGCTCTCCTCCCACGCTGGGTTAGGGCCGCTTGGCTCCCTGTGGCTGGGGCTCAGCTCAGTGCAGCACAGCAAACCTGCCATTAGTCACTGGAGCTGTTCATTGCCAGCTTTGCCTGCA